GGTTAAAACACCACACCCTTGCCCTCACCGTCTTGCAAAACCACACAACTGACAACAGCTTGATACTAGGAAAGACTACTACCCACTGCATCAATATTTTAGCAGATAATTCTCTTTTTCTGCAGTCCCATTTTTATGTTGGGGAAATTACTTCTATACACACCCCACAGCAATTACATCAATAAAAGCAGCTCGGTGATGCAAGGCTGTTCTTCCCCTTTTATCACACTTACCTGTTTCTTGTCCACAATGTTGAGGGTAACAGAGGCCACAATGCATGCAACAGTGTTTGCCAGCATAAAGATCATCATCTGTTGCCAGCGCCACAGAGGAATCTTCAGTTCACTAGAGAAGGCCAAAACAGGATAGAACAACTAGTCACTTGAAGATATTTAAGGCACCTCTATAGTTCCTTGCAGCATCAGGTTGCAAAGACACTGATTTCTGTTCACACCGGTCCACTGAAGCACAGTTGATGGCTCTGCTTGAAAAAAAGAAAAAGCATTTTCACCTGGACTTTGTTCCTAGGATGTGTCCAAAAATCAGACTCGAAAGGCCAACTCCAATCATCTGCACAGAAGCTGCAAGCCCCATAGCTGTCCCTAAAGTTGCTTGGGGGACCACAAGAGGTATGGATGGCCACATACTAGCCTGGCAGGAGTAACGAGAAGAGGAATTAACTCAAAGCCTTAATTAAAGGTGTTAGATGGCCATTGGTTTAAAAAGGAATTCCCAAAAAATAAACATTAATACTTTCTCTTAAAAAAATTGGGTATTTATCCCCCCTAGCCTATTGGCTGGTTCTACGCTGTTCCCCATCCTTTTCAAGCAGCTCGAGAGAGTGCAGACAACGTCAGTTCTTTGGAACTGGAATAACCTGACTCCAGATTTCTGCAGGCGAGTCAGACCTGCTGCTTCAGCTCACAAGACTCAAAGGAGATCCAGGTGTCACACGCAAGGTGAAAAAGGACTAAGAGAAGCACAGACAGATTCATGCTTTGCGCTATGTCAAATGCTCTCTTACTCTGCTTTGCGTTTTGCTCCATATTGATTCTTTGGGGTTATTTGTTACTAACCACCATCTTCAGGATTGGGGAGCCAGTGACTCCAAACTGTGGCTGCTAAACCAGCTCTCCAGGATGCAAGGGCAGTGATACATGCTGTCCAGGATGCAAGAGCACAGCCACAAAACACTCCACTCCAGCAGTGGGGTTGTAAACTTACAGCAGCAAAGGAGTACGTGATCCCCAACCAGATGGTGGAGACTAACGGAGGAACAAACGTAAATGCCAGGAGAGCAAAGACCGGCAGAGTCAATGCAGCACAGCCAACAGCAAAGATGCCTCTCAGTCCAACGTGGTCCTGGAAAAGGAAACAAACAGAAAGCCTCAGAAGGGATCAGCAACAACAGGCTAGATTCTGGTTGAGGGGGGGTTGTAACAAAGACATTTCAAAAAATCAGGAGAAAGTTATCAGCAAGCACTTCTGGTTTTGGGTACTCACAATTAATACGCCAACTGCTGCAGAGAGAACAAGGGAGCTGTCGTACACTGCCCCAGCAATATAAGCAGCTGCCTGCTGACTGTAACCAGAATATTTATCCTGGATAAACTTGCTAAAAATAAAATGAAGGAGGGGAAAAATGACATAATTAGGATTCTTGATCTGGTTATTTTGACAGAAAGTAGGTCTGAGTGCAAAGATATGGACAAGAAAGCTTTTAATGAGAAGACTTGTAAACAAATTTGATTCCATCTGGTTTGTAGTGCCAAGCCTTTGTTGTTTTATTTTCTTTTTAATTGGAACACACCATAGAGAAGCTGGTAAATGAAATGGCCACTTTCAAGATGCTTCTGAAAGTGCAGAGTTAACACTGCAGATTAAAGTTGAACATACGTTCACCTACATCAGCATCAGCAGCAATTTGCCATCACCTGTCCAAAACCTACAGATGGATTTTTTACATTCTCTTTCAAGAGGCAGAAAGCATTATCAATCCAATGGTGAGAATGCTGAGGAGCAGGAATAATATTTTTAAATAATCCAGCAGCAAAGATCAGCATTTAAATGGAACACCTGCAGTTTAGAAGTACTAGGAATTGCCCCTTGGCATCTTTAAGGAAACCTTTGCTTAAAGCAGAAAACATACAAATCAAGGTTTGCTTTCTTTGTCAGAAGTCAGCCTTTCACCTTTGTTAGGGACACGCAAAAATGGCATTAGAACTTAATTTCTTTACAGAATTTACAGCCATGCAGTCATAACAGCTTAGAAAGACTTGTTTATTTAGAGCTCGTATACCTACTTAAACCTGGTTTGGCTCCTTGCATGGCTACTTACCATCAGCAATAATGAGCCTTTCTAGCCAGTGCTGTCAGCAAAGTATGAACCAAGACACTGTTCCCTGAAGATTTACTGCAACAGAACTTGCCAAAGAGCAGTGGCCTTGGGACCGTTATTTTTCCGAAGCAGCACAGTAATTTTGCTAGAAAAGATGTGTGAAACATGACTCCTTGTGCCTCAACTTTTGCTCCACAGGGAGCAAAAAAAAAAAATTCTGCAGCGAGGCAGAATTGCAGAAATGAGGATTCTGTGTGATCAACGGACACTGTTTGCAGTTAAAATGAGAAGGCAACTGGTAGAAAGCCCATCTCATCAATCCTTGCCATGTCTTCATTCAATAAAATCATAGAATGGTTTGGGTTGGAAGGGACATTAAAGCTCATCCAGTTCCAACCCCCCTGCCATGGCAGGGACACCTTCCACTAGAAGCGCTAGTAACTAATTACTAATAACTAACACTAATTACTAATAACAGGTCACTAATTACTAGTAACAGGTCACTTGTACATTTATTACAAAAACATTGATATATCTTCTCTCCTGATTTCACAGTGGCTTAGTACGCATCACTAATGAAATACAACTAAAATAATTTTCTTTTTTTTACTGCAGGTCTTTGCTAATATAAAAGTTTGAACTCATTTTGTGATAGAAGCGGCATCATCCACGAACAGGGAAAAAGCAGCAAAATGACAAGTCTGCGGCAGAGCCACAGGACAGAAGCAAGAGTCCGAATTTAGTCAGGCAGGTTGCTTCTTTGTTTTAAGCAAATAAAGGCATAAAATAAAGGAGTCTGCAAGCCTCACACTGGTGTGCAAAGGCTTCCTCACTTACAAACCCAGGCTGATGCAAGCTTATCTTTGTTCCAAACAGAGCAGACAACATGCAGGAACTGCAGGACAGAACTGCCCCAAGCCTGTGAAGCTAACACCCCACCCAGCTCAAAAGACAATCACAAAGATGAAATGTCTACGGGCTATTTTAAAAAGAAAGTATTTCTTCCTCTTCTCCCAAATCCTTCTGATCCTCCTTTGGCAGTGTTCCAAGCTTTAAATATTGGATTAATTCTTTCCCTTTAAGTTACTTTTGCTTTCCTTCAGAAGCCTCCCTCATCTTTGAAGGGAAAAAAAAGGTCAAAGAAGCCTCATCTCTTAACTAGGTCTTAAAGACATGCTTCTCTGTGTTTCATGAGTGGAAGGAACAAGCATATTATCCCCTTATTTCCCAGACAACTAAAAATCGAGGGCCTGCAAGGCTCAGACAGGCTTGGGTCAGTCAGTGGGACTACAGCCATCGAGCAGTACCTGGCATCTGCCACAAAGGGGAAGACTCCGTTGTAGAAGAACATGATGGTGAGGACCAGGAGCCAGTAGCGAAGGGGAAGGTGCCGGATGTCCTGAATCCGCTGCAAAGAGAAGATGTGCCCTCACTCACCTGGAAATAGTCTGCAGCTTTATACTAATGTCACTTTCTGCAAGCTGCTGAAGGTCACCAAAAAATTAAGAAGTAACTGCAGGTAAAAAGGAATTGAAAGGCAGCTCATGTACCTCTAAGGAAAATCTGGCATGTGCTGACTGCAAAGCATTCCTTCTTTAGCACTATTCAGTAAGAAAACAAAAAAGCTTGCTGCTTATTTTTATAAAGGTTACATCTGCAAGAGATTATTCTAAGCAGGCTCTAGTAAGAGCCTATTGCAAAACCTTGACGAAACACAGGGGACAGACACAGTATAAATAGGAGTCACAACACTGAGATACCAGAACAGGAAGAACACTGTCATGAGAAGGAAGCGGTCTAATAGATTTAAGTACCATAAAATTGCAACCTGTTGCCTGTAACACTTGCTCCTAGACAGAAGAATGCAAGGAAAGGCCTGGCAAAAGATAGTTCAGTACTGACCAGATTAGCTCTTTTCTGTCACAGATCCTGTGAGCCAGAAAGCAGTTCCAGGGAGAGGCTGTTAGCTTGTTTTACACACAAAATCCTCCTCTGAGCCACCAGAAGTAACTGGCTCATAAAAGTAATGCCGTTCAGCGTGCTAACTCAGCTCTCTGGAAGGCTGCAAATACACAGGCTTTAAACAGAAAATTTCCACTTGTCTGGCGGCATGCAGATGCAATATCCTCAGCTGCACCAGAAGAGCTGCTCTGCAGGATTTAACCAAGGGGTGTTATTGCCCTCTCCTGGCCAGGACCAGCTCTCACTACTGCAAAAGCAGTGCTCATGCACCCTGGGCTTTTGAGATTGAGATGGAAAAAGCTGTCTGTGCACCACATACCACTTTTTTTGATTCTTGCTGGATAACCCCATCCAAGCCCAGTTGCTTGATGCCCACTTTATCTAGTACACTGACTGTGAGGGCTGAAACAAAACCAAGCACACAGAGCAGGGTACCTGGAAAAGACACAAGAGGTGTTAGAAATTCCTCAGTGTGGACAGCTGAATGACAAAACCGAGTACATGTAACACACAGAATTCTCTATGACTCCTACTCCTGGCTTTTCTCAACATTAACAGCCTTTCCTACTGCAGCCACAGGACTATTTACCTCTTACCACCCTGGCAGAGACCTTGAGCTGTTTGTCCACTAAGCTCCCAACACTGCAGAATTGTGTGAGGCCAGTGAAATCAGACAGCTGCTCAGTTGGACTATGGCCAGAAAGCTCCATACACTGTAGCAGGCCTGTGCTTAACAAACCCAAGGTTAAAACAAGCCAGACATGAAGAAACTTCTGTGGTCCCCTGAGCAGGAGAGATATCACACACAGACTGGTACTGGAAGCCAAGTTCTACCTCTTCATTTATGTGACACTACAGCAATCTGGCCTGTCAGCACACTCAGCTCCAGAGAAGTGAGTCATGTTTGCTGAAGATGCCAGAAGCAAGTTTGGCAACGGGCATCTGCTGCAGACATCCTTCTCTCAGAAAGAGATCTGTATCCAGTTTGTTTTCCAAAGAGCCAAAACAATCTCTGTGACGCATACACACTTTGATGTATTTATCCCTTCACGGGCTACTGAAGTCGCTGTGCTGTGCTTGCAAATGCTGCCTGAGCACAGTGTCAGATGGGACGTAACATGCCATGCCTGTCACAATTTCTTCTCTGACAGCTGGAATCAGAGGAGAGCAAGGTTTTTAATTTCTGCAAGAGATTTATGTCACATTCCATCCCCTTTTCCATGGGTGCTGGCCCATGCTGTTTTGTTGTTTGGGAAATAACACTTTCCTATAATCATTGAGTCTTTATAGAAAAAGGATGCCCTGAGGTAAGTGTCCCTAACATCACCATTCCAGCACACCAGAGTACCTGAGTGCTACCACTGAACTGCTCTGTGAAACAGATCATCCCTTCCACTACCAACAGATCCCATCTCACTGCACCAAAGAGGAGACAGAAACTCAAATCTTCTAAAGATACAAGCCCTGAAACAGATTCACACTAAGAAACATGTAATTCAGATTCTGCTTCTCACAGTAATTTAAACCTATGGTTTTGATTAGTCCATTGTGCAAGGCATCTTCTGCTGAGACCAATACAGATACTACTACAGAACCAGCACATTCTGCTCCCTAAAATACAGGAGAATGAACACATTAGATTCCTCTTTTGTTTCAGTCTGAACTTTCCATTCCATGGGAGTAAACCTACACTAAGTACTGACTACTTGTGGCTGTAGATGTTAAAATATCTCAAGAAACCTGCAGACAAAACTGTCAGGCTGATGCTACAGCTTTAGAGCTGGTTTTCAGGCATCAATGAAGAAAACACCACTCCATTGCATACAGAAAGCAACAGGAAAAACTGGAAAATAACGTGCCTCCTCCTGCTAACATCAGTCTCTTCCAGGAACTTTTCATAACTGTATGAAACAGGCTAGCCTCAGGCCTAGAACACAAAAGGCCAAAGCACCACAGAAACTCACCTCCCCAGAGTGTCCACTGCATTCCAAATTTTGCCTCAAACTGCTGGGTGAAGAAGAAGTTGAGGACACTCCCAAGACGGGAGAAAGACAGAGTCAGTCCAAATGCCAGCGCCAGTTCCTTCCCCTTGAACCAGAAGGCTGTGATACGATTCTGCACAACTTGGAGAAGACAAAAATCCTCTTTTGAATAGACTTTGCCAAAAGCATTGGACAGAGGCAACAAACAGCCTCTCAAGCTACAGTGCTTGTGCTGGGGGAAAGAGACCTCTCTATGCTTCCCAGGTGGAGGCTGTATGTGTCAACTTCGCAGTCCATTTTAAAATGGACTAAATCATGCTGGGACATGGGAGGTGAATAAGGCAAGTGAAAATAACTCCAAAGGCATAGCAACCAGGTGTCAGTCCCCACACTTGGGAGGACAAACTTGTTAGAGGGGAAAACTTTCAAACATATCGGTACACATTAAATCCATGCACTCTTCAAGGAGCAGTGTTCTTCTGCTTGGAATGTAGGTTCCTGGTAGAGGGCAGGTGAAGCTGACTGGTAGGACAAGAGTCTAGGAGGCAAAATAAAAATGTATCATCACCCTCTGGTGAAGTGCAATTAAGAATGTGAATTCCTTACTAGTTAGTGAACCATTCCCAGAGCCAAAGAGCAGTCTTCCTGTTAGCATCATTGGTAGGAGGTATGGCGACCCTTTGAAATGTGAGCCTAGAGCAAAGACTGAGCACGTTCAGAAGAGAGAAAACAAAGACACCAACTAGGGAGAAACAGAAAAAAAATACACAGACGTCAGCAGATATGCTGAGATAAGGACAAAAGCATTCTTTGTCAAAAAACAATAGAACAACCTCAAAACACGCCAATAAACCTGTGGACTTCCATCAGTTTACCCTCATTATTTTAATTTTGTAAAGACAGGTCTCTTTATAAAATGACCTGGGAATCCTCAGAATAGTGATGATGTTATCATAGTAGAAAGTATGTTTACTGCACTGCCATGTAAATCCAGGTAAGTCAGTGGTCAAAGGATAAAAACATCTCAGTTGCCTTCACAGAGCTGCTCAGCTAGCCCTCACACACTCCACGCACAGAGCTGTCCCTCCTCTCCCAGCTCTCTGTGATCTTACTGAAGTGGAACCTTTGATCATCCCTTTGCACTGAAAGAACAGCCTGAAATCCCACTTCAGAACAGAATAAATTAATTGATCCTCAGCACTTACAGCGATTTCCTAGTTTGTCAATCAGGAATCCAGCCAGAATAACCACTACTGCATTTCTAGGAGAAAACAAGAACAGAAACATTTGTGTCTTGCTGCTGGGAAGCAACTAACAAAATACCCTGCCCCCCCAAAGCAAGAGAAAAGTGCCTTACGTCCAAGCATAGATGGCATACAGCAAATTGTATTGTGCAGGTGTCATTCCCAAGCCTTCCACACAGTCCAGCGTGCTATTATGCCCGGTGCCGTTACGATGGGTTTCATTGGGGCAGGTCAAGTTCTGCGTAACAAGTCACAGAGTTTGTGCTAGGCAGCAGACACAGATTAAAACCCATGCATTCCTTTAAAAACAAAGTTAACTTATTGCCTACTAGATTTCTATTTCTCCTACTCACTTCCCACTTCCACAACCAGGAATTAGAAGAGTTGTGTCTTCTCCCAGGAAGCCAGCCCTTGCATGAGAAATGACTGGCCATCGGCACCGCATGTCTTTCTTCCCCCTTTCTGTGGCAGCAGCAGCAGGGGCTCAGCACTTCTATACACATTTCAGTCCAGAAAAAAAGCCAGGAGACTACACCAAAAGGTTTACTTGGTCCCTTAGTTTCTTGACTCTAGTTTAGCTTGATCTGACTCTTCATTACATACCATAAAGTCTTGAGCAGTGTGTAAACATGAAACTCATCAGTGGTCCATATTAATTCACAGCTATAAAGTATTTGCTGAACAGTAGGAAACTGGTAGTCCTAGCATAATTTAATAACGTCGGTTTTGCTACTGAAAAGCAAAAGCTCCTCAACACCATGTGATCAGGGGAAAAAAGGGATCTTCCAACTACTAAAAATCTACCCACATTAGTAAATGGACACCAGGTCTTCCACACCAGCAGGCACAAGCTTAACGTCTTGAATAAGCACAAGGAAAGTGTGATTTTAACCACATGATTTTCATACAGCCATCGTATTTACAAACCCCTTGGATATACTGTAGTAGAAATAGCCGACGCTGCAAAAAACAGTTCTCTAGAACAAAGTGTTTTCGCTGCAAGAACTGGTCTTTGATGCTCCAATTACCTCTGTACCACTTGGGTAGGGCAGGTAGAGGCTAAATTCCCCAGAGTAAAAATATAATGAGAGTATCAACAGATAAAAACACTGTTTGCACAGCATCGAACACAGAAAAATATGGCTTGGTTTCACTACTCTATAAAAGTTACCTAGGCAAAAAAGCTGACATAACCTTTCCTTTACTCCATAAACAAATAACTGACTCTTCCTCCACAGACCTACAGAAGTTGTGGAGGATCAAGGAATTTTTTTTTCTTTTTACTCATGTTTGCAATGACAAACTACACCCAATTTAGCCTGGAGTTCACTCTCTGAATGTTATTGATTAACTGCATTAAAAAAAAAAAAGTGCCATGCAAGCTAGATATACTTCTGCCTTTGCTGTTGAAGCAGACAAAGAAGAGGACAGTGACTCCCAGCCTACAGAGACTAATCCACCAGCAGATGGCACATGAGTAAAATCAGCTCCCCAAAGACATGCAACAACTGAAATCATGACAGATAAATGAGTCAAGTAAGAATTTCTGACAGGTATTCAGGAATTCAGGTAAGACCTCTGGGTCTCCAGCATCCCTGGAGAAATCTCAGAAATCACCTGGGATATCAGTCCGAACCCTGAACAACAAAATTTTTCAGCATTTGAGAATAGGACTAGTTTCTATATGACTGAGTCCTCCTGTGATCTCCCTGCAGGGCTCTGTCTTTTGAGTAGCAAACAAACATGTGATGTGATACTTGCAGTATCCAGGAGGTTTGGATCTGAGGACCCAGAAAGTCTTTTCTAGTTTCCTATCTCCAACATCACTAGTTGTCCAGTCCAGTGTAGGTACTAATGGTCAATTCTGTGTATCTTCTACATGCAGAGCGGTGGTCAGCAGAGCTGTGTGAATGCTATTCTAACTCTGAACTTCAGTAGTGTAGCGACAGCCACTTGGACAGAGAGCTGACAATCATCGAGACAGTGCAGGTTTTAGATTTCCAGTTCTCCAGGCAGTAGTGAGAACTCACTACTCAACCCTCACAGCTCGTCCTGGCTTTGCACATCTTCTTCACAGCAAACGTGCCTGTAACAAACCCCTCACCCCCAGCACCGGGAACATAAGACCCTGGAGCACAACTCTTACACCGGCACCGTTAACAAAACGTTTTGAAACGCTACCAGTGACCAAGGCTGGTTCGGCCTGGTTTTGCCCACCCCACTGCCGTACCACAGCCCAGAGGAACGCCCAGCACTGACCCCCTGGAGCTGCTCCTGCAGGACGCTGGGGATGTCGAAGCAGAAGTAGGAGCCAAAGGTGAGGAGGCAGTTGAAGAGGAGCACGGTGAACCTGTAGGAGGCTGTTGGGATAGAGGGTCCATAACACCCACCCCACAGCTCAC